TTTTTTTTTTTACTTTTATGTGGTGAAAACATACACAAGACATTCACCAACATAACAACTTCTGCATTTACAGCTCAGGGATAGGGATGACATTTTTCATGTTGTGCCAATCATTGCTGCTATCCTTTTCCAAAATATTCCACCACCATTTAGCATAAACTCAGTGCCCCACAAACAAAAGCTTCTCCTTTTCCCCTTCCTCCTACCTCTGGTAACCACTAATAATCTTTGGTATATCTATATCTATCTATCTATCTATCTCCCCCCCCCCCAAACCTATCTAGGAATTTCCCACACAATCTTTGGTGTTATATATATATATATTCCCCCCCAACCTACCTAGAAATTTCTCACCCCACCCGCATCCCTGGTAACCAACAAGGAAGATTTCCTCCCATGTATAAACCTTTCCTTTTTACAACAGTGCACTAATACAATATTTGTCCTTTGGTGACTGGGTGTCTGCTAGCTCTTGAATTTCTCCAAGACCCATATCTTGAAAAAAAAACACATGTAAGTGGACCTGTGCAGTTCAGACCCTTGTGTTGTTCAAGGGTCAACTGTATTGAAATGTGCGAGGGAAGTTGAGCCTGCCCCTTGCAATCAAGACTCTAGGCAGAGCTGTGCACGCCCTCCCTCACAGGGCAGCTCCTCCATCTCTTCTTCTCCACTTCATTACTGGGAATACTGTGACCACCGCAGGCCCAGCCAGACCTCGATTCATATTATGCAGGCCCTACTTGGGGAAACATGCCTGGCACGATGGCCCAGGTATCATTAGCAGTCCCCACCGTGGAAGGACACCAGTTTACATGGAGGGAACTGAACTGTCCCAACGTGCTTGAGTCTGACTTCCTTCTCTCTCTGTTAAGACTTTCCAAGCCTTCTCATCAGCCACAGGGCAAAGCCCAGCCTCATCCACCAGGAGCCAGGGGGCACAAGACCTGCTGATGTCCTGCAGCTCACTTGTGAGAGTAACCAGTTGCTGTTGAGTAAATTCTGACTCATGGTGATCCATGTGTGTCAGAGTAGACCTGTGTGCCATAGAGTTTCCAATGGCTGATTTTTTCAAGAGGAAGATCACCAGGACTTTGTTCTGAAGTGCCTCTGGGTGGACTCGAATTGCTCACCTTGTGGTTAGCAGCAGAGTGTATTAACCATTTGCACCATCCAGAGACCGTCACCCATGAGAGGAACAGCTCAAATCTCTCAAGCTTAGCCCTTCTGCCTCTTCCCAGTCAAGAGTGGGCTTGATTCCTATTGCACTGGCCTTGTTCCCATCAAAGGAACTCTGGTGGCATAGTGCCTAAGGCATGTGACTGCTAACCAGAAGGTTGGTGGTTCAAACCCACCAGCCACTCCCCGGAAGGAAGACTGGGCAATCTACTTCTGTAAAGATTTACTGCCTTGGAAACCCAGTAGGAGTTGCTGTGAGTTGGAATCTACTCGATGGCAGTGAGTTTGGTTTTTTTTGTGTGTGTATATGTGTGCCCATTGGGTAAGTCCCATGTTCATGAAGCCCTACACACTGTCCAGCACCTTCACTTCCCTTTGTAAAAACTTCCCAGAAGGTTTGCAATAGCTGAAGGTAGGGCTAGAGTGAGTGACACATAAAATTTTAATTCTGAGGTGAGAGATGAACTCCTAAGGGGGACATTGAGGGATGATGGGAGTTGACCTGGGATCTGAGAAACTAGATATTTTCAGGAAGTAACTCTAAGATATAGGTCAGAGACCATCTGCTTTGCCTCCTGCTGTACCTCTGCTACCTTGAAACCACATTGGTCTGAACAGGTAGAAAAATACAGGAGCCTGGGATCTCATTCATTCATTCACAGATACTCATTCCCAGCAGGGGTTAGTGGGGAAATGGGGTGGGGGGAGAATGACATATACTGTAAGTACTGCCCACAGAGGGCCTGGCAGGTCAGAGGAAGCTGCCTGTTCCCTGAGGGATGGTGATGGAGAAGGGCTTCCTGGAGGGAGGCCTGAAGCAGTGCCTTGAAGGATGAGGAGAATTTTGCCAAGTGAAGAGAGAGAAGGAGGGCCTGAAAGAAGTCAAGTTCTAGGCCTGCTTGGGGAAAGGCAGTAACTGTGCTGTGTGTGACAGCTGTCAGGAGAAAATGGGGCCCTTTGGTTAGGTGAAAGAGCCGTGGTGGTGCAGCTGTTAAGTGCTCAGCTGCTAATTGAAAGGTTGGCAGTTCAAACGCACCAGCTGCTCTGTGGGAGAAAGATGAGGTAGTCTGCTTCCACAAAGCCTTGGAAACCCTATGGGTCAGTTCTGCCTCATCCTATAGGGTTGCTATGAATTGGAATTGACTCAATGGAAGGAGGTTCGGTTTGGTTTTGGGTGGCTAAGTGCATTTGGGAAGTTCTACATTAAGCAATAGGAGCTCTGGTAGCATAGTGCCTAAGGCACTTGACTGCTAACCAGAAGGCTGGCGGTTCAAACCCACTAGCCACTCCTCGGAAGGAAGGTT